TCTCATTAATGCCATTAACTCTGATTCCATTATAAATGTCTGCAAAACTTTGTTAATATTTCGCTAATGTCGAAAAAAAATCACAATTTTTCTGCATTTTCAATTAAAATCACACGTGAATATGTTTGTTCATGCGATTAGTCTTCAAAAACCTTCTTCTTTTCCACCAGTAGTAGCATATGTTTGTTGATCACATGACTTGTGTGATGCGAAAAAAGTGTCTCCATTGCAGTTTTGCGAAAAACACTTTGACATTCAAAACCACTTCATCCTCGCACAGAAAGTTTTAATGTCAAACGTGAGTTGTTTTTTTTTTTTTTTTTTTTTTTTAGAAAGTTTCCATTAAGCAAATTTCTTTTTGTAATTGAAACCTGAGTCGAAATGTGTGATGACACATCTGGAAGATCTGTGAGAAACTCGATGTTACGTGTTCCTCACAAAATATAACATAATACAGCTACCGGTGGCTGTCCTGTCGCTAATGCCAGTTTATTTTTAACAGTATTGCTATTTGTTTTAATTTAGGATAACAGATCTTATATTTATGGCTTTTCTAATGTAACTTTTGTAATGTGATTTTATACTGAATAACTGAGCTGTAAAATTTTAGACATGCATCGCTTGGAGTTCTGCTGCCCATTTTGGATGTTTTTTTTGCAAAGCTTTTACCCGTTGATATTAAATTCATTCAATTCTGATTTGCCTTTAAAAACTGTATGAAGATATAAGAAGAAATTGCTAACTTATATTAGCAATTATTTGTTAGGCCCTGTTGCGCTTACTGTTAATATTGATTCATACTTTAAATATGATTTCCAAACCCAATGACTCATTTAGATTAAAATATCTGTAACACGGTTACTTAACTGAGTTTCATTCAGCCTTCCTGTTATCTGCCTTACGTCTCGCTCTCTCACAGCCTATGAAGAACAGAAATGTCTCAACATGTAGTTTTTGCTTGAACTGCATCGTGTATTCTCTCCCTTCTGTAACATCTTCCCCACCAAAGGCTGCTGTGGTTATTAGATGCATGGTGCATTCGATCAGAAGCCACTTTTTCATTTTCTCTCAAGTCAGGAGCTTTTAAGCTGAAAGTCAGCCGATTCTGTTCCCCTCTAGTATAAATACCACTCACGCTCCCTGTCATGCGTTTGTTTCTAGAGGTTTTTACCAGAGCTTGAAGCAGGTGTCTGTATGCGACTGGTTTTTAAGAGGAAAAATAGACTAACTTTATCTTTTCGGCCATTTCCTCCAGTCGGAGAGATGGAGCATCTCATGGGTTCCCAGAATTCCCTGATCGGGAAGCTCAAAGAGGAATGCTGCAAACTTGGGGCCAAACTGGAAGAGTTGTCTCTTCAAAGCAGGTCAGTGTTTCCTCCTAAACATTTATTCCCTGAATTATCCTCTCATTTCCCTCCCCACGTCGCCTGGTAACTCGGCGGCAGAAACTTTTGTTTGTCATTTTGTTTTCTGTTTCAAGGGAACAGTTGTTTGTTCTCTCACTCTGCGCTTTATTCCCTCTGAACGTTTGACGTCCGTGTCATCGTTTCACAAAATCATCATCCGCCCCGGCTGTCGGGCAGAACATGTGAAAAAACTACAAACTGCTCTGCAGTCTGACCTGTTTTCTTGTTAACCTGATGCTACAATAGTCCCAGCAGGCCTGCCCAGCTCTCCATCTGGGCTGCCCGTGTGTGTGTGTGTGTGTGTGTGTGTGTGTGTGTGTGTGTGTGTGTGTGTGTGTGTGTGTGCGTGTTTGTGTGTGTGTGTGTGTGTGTGTGTGTCTATGTACGAGCCTGACCCTGGGCCCAGTGTCCTGTCAGCTGTTGGAGCTGTGCTACACATTAGTCACATGACAGCCCTCAATCTGGCCGAGACAGACCGCACTGGCCTCACCAACCACAGGACACACACACACACACACACACACACACACAGTCCGAAGTATGCACAGTACTTTCTTGTGGTACACTCTGTACTCCTTTTTGCGTATTATAAAGTAATATGTCTGTGTAGACTGTGAAGCTGCAGCAGAGCGGTGTTTAGTGCTGCAGGCTGTTTGCGTTCCTGGAGTCCAGGTCCACTCTAGCGGCTAAAGTCCTGCTGGACGGCTAAGTGAGGACGCACCAAGACAGCTGCAGCGGGACGAGCAAATAAACTCATTATTTTCAGCAGTTGGTCTCGCTGATGTTGTGTTACTCAGACTTCAGGCTGCAGGTCTGTGGGATGTGGCTGAAGCTGATTTTTAAGGGTTCAAAGGGCATTTCTTACCAAGTGTTTTTCTGGTCTAGTTTCTAGTGCAAATATCATAGTGTACTTTAAATAACTTACAAGTAACTTTTCATCAAGATATAGGAACTTGTTTTAAGTCGCACAATATTGATCAAGACGTTCTGGTTCCTTTGGTAGATTATTTCACTTATAACAAGACATTTTCCCCGTGTTATAAGTGAAATAATCTGCCAATACTAATTCAATACTAAGGAATTTTTGACTTATAATAAGCTCCTATATATTTCTGTTAAGTTACTTATAAGTTAGTTTCTTTCTTATTTCAAGTTTTACTACGATATTTTCAGTAGAAACTAGACCGAAAATACTTGGTAAGATTTTGTGTTTTTGCAGATTACAGTGTTTTCCATCTCCTGTTATTGATAAGCTTAATAAGCAGTTAATGTATTCAGCAATATTACTTATTTCTAAACAGAGTCTGCAGTGATTTTAAATACATTACTGACTACATTAATGTGGGAGAAACACAAAAGTACACTTGAAATATGACAAAACTAACTCATAATTAACTTTTCAGTTCAATATCTGAGCTCGTCTTAAGTTAATAATTCCTTTATATTAATAAAAAAGTACTGTTTCCACTTGTTATATGTTAAATCTGCCAGTTGAACTAGTGCTTTATTTTGATTGATATTAAGGAATTGTTGAATTATTGAAGGAATTATTAGGGTTTCTATTCAGTCAGGAAGTCTTACATTTAATTTAAGGATTTTCCAGGTAGTAGTATGGAAAAGAAGAATAGAAAATGGGAACATATTTGAATTATTAGTTGGCAATTAATACTAACTTTTGATTTAATAAAACAATTCTGCACTGTATGTTTCTTTTTTTTCTTATTTCATAGTTATTTCCAGCATGCCCTGCATTCCGTGCAGGACAGGGTGTACTTTCATTTGTTCATTGTTTGCATTGCTGTTGCCTGTGCACAGGAGCGAGCTGGAACAGCTGGCTCTGGAGAAGCAGCACTCGGAGGAGACGGTGAGGAGTCTGAGAGCGCGCTGCTTGGAGATGGAGGAGCAGTGTGTCCAGCATGGACGCATGCACCAGCGCATGAAGGACAGGTGTGGAGACTCTGCGCAGAACGTTCTCATAATCACTCAGGCTGAATCTAAAGCCTCGTTTCACATCCTAACCCGGTCATGTTCACATTTGCCGCAGGTTTTCTTTTGAAGAAACAGGATTTTGACTGTATTTTGTGTGGTTTGCATTTGAGCGCTCAAATATTTAACAACTTTATTTCAGAAATCGGGCAAGGATCAAAAAATGTGAAAATTATGGAATATTTAAGATGCACACCTGTGGGTCTTTAAGTGACCAAAGTCTTAAAAAGCAGCTCATTCAAAAGTGCAAATGAACTTTTGCCAAGAGATGAAAACAAATGAGAAACCAGGAAAATTGTAGAGGTTTTTTTTTTCAGCTGTATGAATTAGAGAATAACTCCTCCCCCACCTGTTGCTGCAAACTCCTCATCATCTGGATGACAGAATTGGCTAAAATTACTATTTTTTATTTATTTATTTATTTATTTGCAGATGCAAAGAAAAAAAAAACGTGACGGTCATTATTTAGAAGCTCACAGCAGAATACAGGCTGGCTTGCTACACTTCCCATGCTTCTCTATAAAGAGCAGAACTGAAAAAATAGGTGTCAGTAGATAGATATATTTTGCTTAAGTTAGTGCATTAAAATAAAAGTAATTAATAGATAGTAACATTATTACAGCTGTAATATTCAGTGTTTTATCATTTTAGCATCAGTAGGAATAATTGTTTCTTCTTTAAATACCAGTTCTCAATTAGATACGTTTTGCGTCAAAAACTTTTGTTAATTCATTGAAAACACGACACAGTGGTATTTTTTCTTAACAGCCATTCATGCCTTGACTTATGAAACTCAGAAACAAGACAAAGGTCCTTAAATCGAGGCACAAACTGAACTGTGTTATAAAAATTTATTAGTAAAATAAAAAAAACTTGGATTCTCATGTATTCGTATTTTGTCCTCTATCAAATTATTATTTCTAGTTTTAACGTGTTGAAGTTGACTTTTTAATTTTTTTTCTCCACTTTACAAAGCTGCAGTTAAAAGTTGCTCCGTCGCCACGGCGATGCGGGGGTCTCTTCCTCCTGAGTGCGGAGCCCAGTTGGTGCGCGTCTCGGCAGGGCGCCTGGCGTGCAGCCTGGCTCTGCCAGCGTGGGCGTGGGTGTGTGGGTGTTGTTGCCCCACTCTGCAGGATCTCTACCCCAGTGCGCCCCCACCCCCCACCTCCACCATCACTTCCACGTT